ATTCGATTAGAATCGGCTTCGAAGGATTCGTTCCAACAGCCGCGTTCAGCTGCGTCCTTTTCTACATTAGGTTTAATTCCGCGGCGCTGCAATTTGCCAATAAAAATATCTCGAGTGGCATTCGCCCGACTATTGACCGACCTTGCTTGAGCGAAGAGCCTTTTACCCGCGATGGCCGCCCTCTGTACGTGTCGCAAATGTTTGTTTTTTGTTCCATTTGCTGTCGAGCAAGAGAGAGAGATTTGCTGGCCAAGACACATTACCGCGCTTTTAGTCGGTGAACGCCGTTGACAGCGCGAAAATTCAATTTGGCCAAATGACTTTTAAGCAACAGCTTGCCGGCAAAAAGAAGTGCAAACTTGGAGAAAAGGATGTAATCCCATCTGGCTTCGATTTTTACATTAGCGGGCGAGCTGCTAATGCCAAGACCGGGCTTAATCTAGTGAGGAAAAATCACTGCAAGTGGCTCACCAGCGGCTATCGCGGCATCTTGATCCCCAAATGGGCCACCGGTGAACACGGCGCCGCGCTAGTTTCATAAAGTGGCACTGCCGCTCGGTTCGCCGGGCCGCTCTGCCTTATCTGTGGGATCTCTTCTTACCTGGCAAAATCAATAAGCGGCGCTAACAATGGCAGGCAGGCTCACTTTATTGTTGCGAGGCAGAAAGGGTATTTTGCCCTCAATCAATAATCTTCCTCTAGAGGCCGCAGGACCGACGCGCCCCACTGATTTATAACCAGGTTCCGGCTGCATTAATCACACTATTGAGATTCACGACGCCAATCAAGCGAATCCGCAAGTGATGTGCGTGCAGCCCCTGCCGCTCTCGAAAACTTGCCCCAACCGAATATAAGTGGCTCTTTTCGCGCAAAGTTTCAGTACTCTGTGGCTTCACTTCATTTCAAAAGCCCTCTCTCGCGACGCGCGGAATAATAATTGACAGTGTCCTTGTTGGAAAGTTTTTGAAAGTTATTGCTCGTAGTTTGAAACTAAAATGAAATTTATGACGAACATTTTTCCCGAGTTGCTCAATTTGAAAGTTTGAAAAGTTGCTCTATTTCATCTTTCTTGAAATGAGATTTGGATTAATTTCATTTTTAAACCAGAAAATTTTGTCAAATAGGAGATGGTACAGTTAATTAAATTGAGGGAGGAGACAGAAATATTATGAATAAATTTGTAGCACTAACTTAAGTGAAAATCATAAATTGCATAGCATAGGTAGCAAAGTACCGTTTTTTTTAAATTCGATATGTTTGGAGAGAATGATTAACTGAAAATTATTTATTTTTATTTTTATACTTCTCTCAAGAGAAAAATAAAGAGGCAAAAATCTTTATGCAGATTCATTCTTTTAATAAATTATTAATTGAAAGTTTTAATGACAATGAATACTTATAATTGGTAACGATTTCCTATTTTAAAATAAAATCTTCTTCTCTGTAATTCAATCAGCATTTTTACTTCTAACTGAAACGGAGAAATTAAAAGTAATGAATTTTTTATGTAATCTGCTTAGCCATTCTGTTGCAAAACAGTTACTCTCGGCTGAAGTGCCATCCTAACAGCTTCACAGCAGCATATGCACGTGGCCTAATTTCGCGATTTTCGACGACAGCCAGCTCTTTACAACCGTCAGCGAGTTATGCAACCGTAACAAGAGCACCGAGAGGTGCGATTCGCCAAGCAACCTATTTTGTCATTTCGCTGCGGCTCTTCACACAGATGCAATTAAAACAACGGCAGACGGCGGCGGCATTTTAAATTTCACGGTGCACTCGCTCCAAGTTGACTCTGGGCGATGAGCAACAATAACCCGGCGGAAGGAACAGATGAATGGGGCTGCCGAGAGCAAATGAATTTCTCTGCGAGAAATTCCGTGCAGGCTCTCGTCAAATGTTCTCTAATTACGAGATGAGCAAATAGAAGGATAATTTATCTCATCCTCTCCCTTTTCTCATTTGCATCCTTGTGCTCCAGCAAAAGAGAGCGGTTTAAACTTCTCAGTCAGTTTGAGAATGATTTATGCCAAGTACAGAGCAACGTGCAAGTTTTCCGCTTATTACAAAGGAAAATTAAAATTAGGATCAGTGCTAACAAAAACAATGAAAATATACAATGACTAATCCAAAAGATTTGTATAACCTACAATTTTAACGTTAATAACAGTGCAAACAATAAACTTTTAAATATTAATAAAGCTAAAAGAAAAAAATAATAATTCAATTTAATTTTAATATTTATTCATAAAATTATAAGAAAACTTACAAAAAAAAAAAACAAGTATTATAATGAATTTAAAATTATTTAATAACTTGTAATATTTAGTTAGTTCGACACTTTTCAAATAATTTTTTTATCTTTTTATTTAATACATTTAGAAGCAAACAATTTGTGTTGAGATGAATATAAGTTTCATAGGAAGAAATTAAATTTTAATTTTGGAAGGTTATGCCAAAGGCAGTGGCAATAAAGCGGCTGGTGGATCTGCCGCATTGCACGTATGTCATTAAATAAAAGTAATTGCATTTGTTCAAGTGGAGAATGGACGGGGCGAGCGCGGGCGAGTGGATGAAAATCAGTTTAATTAAAGGCAGGTATGTATGAGTTTATGGCGTAGCGAGATATCACGGGGCAACACGCCAGGCCGATTGATCGCACAGCGGCCCCCGCGGACCAAACATGAAGAATCGCAAAAGTAGAGACTACCCATCCATCCACAGATAATTAAGCACGGAGCCATTGAGTCATTAAGAGAGAGGGCTGGCGGCCAGAACAAAAAAAGGCAGAAGCGCCGGCGCTGCAGTTTGTTTGTGTGCAGGCAGGAAGCAACAGACAGCGGCTCGAGAGCTGTAATTGCACTTCATTGAACTTGCCTATGCATGCAAAATTATTCGTTTGCACTTTTCTCTGGCGTGGGGAAATTTCTAGTCAGCGTTTTCCCCGGCTACGCTTGTTTGTGAAAATGGAGTCCTTGGTTGTCCAACTCGTTTGAAACAATTAGAGCAGGAAACGACTTGATTTGCACAAGTACTGCGCTGCTGGAGTTGCGTCTCTCAATGTCTTGTGCATGTTTGTGACTTTCGTTGGGCAAAGTTTGCGTTCGTGTTAAGGAATAATTTTGAATTTTGACGTTATGCAAAGTAGCAGTACGGCGACAGAGCAGATTTACAGGCACCTAATGGGAAAAATGCGGATGTGTGTGGAGAAGCATGCGGATAATCTCGTTGGAAGGAGATGCGACAGTTTCATGCAAATTGTCTCTGCAGAGACGGGAAATTCATTATGTAACTTTCGAATGTTATGCCAAAAATACTCGCTGCAGAAAACAAAGACTTTACTTTTAACTATTGTTTTTATGTCTCTATCAAATCTTTATTTATAAAATTTTACTTGAAATAAATTTAAAAAAATATCTTCAGCCGAATATGAGTCAGAAGGTGTTTAAATTTGTGTTAAGTACTCTTTTAATGTTAATTTTTCCTCATTATAATTTTGAAACTTCCTATTTTCCTACGCTGTTCTAAAATTAATTTGGCATTTAGGTTTTTTTTTTAAATTTAGATGACAAAGCTTCATTTACAGTTAGCATAATTCGTGTCATTAATTACAGCTGGACACACTAACAGACTGGATTTGACCATTCATGCCAGGACACACTTAAAGAGCACATTATTTCTCTCATTAGATCAAAGATAAAGCGTTATCTGGATTAGTAGATCACATTTTGCTTTGATCCCCTCTCAGATTGGGACTGACTTTACTGATTAGTGACTAATAAAGGGTAGAGCGACAAAATAAATAATGCTCTTTCCGTGACATTCAATTGCACAAAAATTAGCTCTCATGTAAATTTTAAACCAAAAATTCGACTGCCTCTGCTTTTTTTGTACAAACGTCACAAGACCAATTATTATGATTAAAAATGGAGCAAGAGGTGTGTTGGGGTTGAATGACATGCGATTTCCACAGAAAAGGAAAAAACGCAGAAGCCAATAGTATAAATTGTGAATGTGGAAAGAGAGCTTTTTCCTCATAAACCGCACAAGCGTCTCCCCAGTATATAAAAAGCACTAATAATCAATTGAGCAAACGGCATAAAACGTCGCGCTACACGCAGGGGAATAACAAATTGACCGCGGTCTTAGGTAAATTTTCAGTCGTCTTTGTTCGGCTGAAGAATAGCACGAAACCGGAGTGAATTATTTATCCGGCAAACTGCTGAGCAGCAATTGCGGCGCTTGATTGGCAGCCAACACTCTCACATACACACACATTACATAATGTACACGATACTTTTCCTTTCGCAGCGCGCGGTGACACGGGGCCAAGTTATTAAATGTTTTAGAGCTACGATATATTGATTCAGCGTGGGAAAATGCAAAGCCAGCTCTCGCTGAGAAGAGCGGCGCACAAAAACCGCCTCGGTTGTAAATGATAATGTTCACACATTTTTCCGTGTTTCACGCATGAGCTGGTCGGGCCGAGTTTTGTCGTTGAACTTTGACAAAGGGTTGATTTTTATAACGAACGCCGGAGAGGGTCAAATTGAGATGTTCTGCAGAGATACGTACAAACTTGATTTGTGAAAAATTGAAATGAAATTTAATTTTTCCACTCTAAATGGAAAATCGGCAATTCTCTAAACTTATTTTTGTGATTTGTATATATATATATTTTTTAATTAATTCAATATTTAGGCAATTTTCTTTTAAAAAAGAAACCTTGAATAAGTCAATCGAATTGGTGTTTTGGTGATTATTTTTAAAAGAATTTATTCCGGCAATATTGATCTGGTTCCCTCAATAGTTCTTGCACTTCATTAACCACCCTCAAGGCTACGTTCTCCGCGCCCGGGCTTTTGGATTTCAGACCCCAAATCTACCCTGCGTACGTTTTCGAGTTGCAACGAGAGTGAAACGAATAATTGGGTGGCGAAATAGTAGAAACAGGCCGCGTAGCAACCGTACCGGTTCGGTAACAAAGTAACAAAACTCACCTGGAAAAGCGGCCGAATGCCCACAGAATGGGCGCTCTCTCGAAATCCGTGTATCGAAAAGCACTCACAGCTCCACAGGCGCTTGCAGCTGCTGCTGAGGAGCTGGCTGGGCGCGTACTGCTGGTGCCCGGGCTGCCGACGGCCTCACCACCTGCCCATTGCCACCCCCTTTCGACCCCTCCAGTCAGCCGACGGTGCGATTTTGCGGGTGCTGGTGCCGACGCCAGGCAGGATCGAGCAATTCGGCGGCGTGTCTCGCGTCCTAACTCGGTCGATGCGATTCCAAATCGCGTTCGCAATTTTGGTTTTCGACACGGCGCAAGGGACGGCCTGTGTGCGGGGTGGTGCGCAAGTGCGACGCGAGCGGGGGCTTATCGCTCATCGAGCGACTCAGACACTCTGAATTTTAACGCCTCCCGTATCGTAATTTGAACAACTCGGTTCCATCTCGTGTGTCCCGCGCGCGCTCGCTCTCTCATCTCGCGCGCGTCCTGCCCCTCTGCAACCCTTTCTCATTAATTTATTTTTATTTCCCGTGCGCGATTTCTTTTTCGCTCCTTCTTTTTGACTCTCTTGGTATTATTTGTGGCTCCGACCCTCCCTCCCTCCTCCGCCCTCTCGTTTTTCCCTTTTGAAAATTCAACAGGCCCATATATACATATACACACCAGGGAAGACTAATAAGGGTTGTTGCACTCAATGCTCAGAAAGGGTTTCGCTCCTTTTTCGCACGCCTCCCTTTTAATGATGTTAAGATTGCGAAACATTCTTATTTTTGTGCTGGGATTTTTGCCGCATGACTTTGCCGCAGCTCGCTGATAAATTTAGCCGAATTTTTTAATGTGAATGGCCCGATCGCGTGCTTGTAAAATTACTTACTTTGCTCGCGACCTGCTCGGGGTATAGACACAAAATCCGTTTTTTTCTGAAAAATAAAATTTTTTTTTGAGTTATTATAGTGAGACAAACTAATGGGAAAATATATTTCATGATGCTACTTTTGAACCATTTTTAACAATTAAAAAATAATTTAAAATTCTAATGAAGTGTCGTGTGTAGCCAATTTAAATTTATTAATTTTATCGCGGCACTGAAATAAAATATTCAAATTAAGTTTTAAATTATAAACTTACATTTTGCATGACCAATTTCCTCCTTGTTGTTCCGCACGTCATGCACCACCGACTCGGCGGCGCGTTGAAGCTCAAAATTGCTCCATCGGAGTGCAAAAAGTTTGTCAACTTTACTGCCAATTTATGTGTGCTAAATGTGAGCGAGCGCGATGGAAAAAACGCAAATCTTATTTTTAGACAGAAATAAAACTTTCCCCCTCATAATTACCTGCGCATCAAAGCTAGAATATCTTGTATCTTGTCCAAAAATACGTGCCAATTTTAAAGCTATATTATTTATAAAACACACGCATGCTATCTGAAAAAATTAATTACCAATTGCCTAATGAAATAAAAAATAAAATATTGAATTATTCAAATAATTTTTTTCAATTCTGTCCTTATTTTAACAGTTATTAAAAAGAGGGATAAAACTTTTTAAGTATAGACTATTCTGAAATTATTTAATTAATGTTGGTTGTAGTGAAAACAATATTTATAAAATATAAATAAAAATATAATATTTAAAAAAAAATTAGGAACGGAAAAATTCTCTTATTAGCACTATTAGAGTTTGAAGATAACAACAAAAAATTTAACAAACGTGTGCGAAACAGAGGATCCAATTTCAAAAAGTGCGATGGCCGGGAATCGAACCCGGATCAACTGCTTGGAAGGCAACTATGCTCACCATTACACCACCATCGCAACTTATTATCATGAATAACTCCTTTGCTATATAAACGTGCATATCGACATGGCGATGCTAGTGACATCTGGCAGTAAAAAATATACTTCATTTTTATCGCATGCTCATCGAAGTTTTTGCTGGCAATGACAGATTGAAATTAAAATTTCCATGCTGCAGCGTGTCTGCAGAAATAGAAAAACCATTTTGGAATGGTAAGTTAATTGTTAAATACACGTCAACCTTGAAAATAGGCAACCTTCATAATGCATATCGAAGGACACACATGTAAATTGCCTCTGGATTATTTTTCCATTTTATTTTTACTTTCACTTTTTTATAATCTAGAACAATTTCTTATTTAGATTGGGAGAATTAATCAAGTTCTCTAAATAAGATCTATTGAGAATCCGAATTTTTTATTCAAGTTTTTTAGGTCCATAAAAGCTCACAAAAGAGACGACACTCAAAATACCTTGCGACAATAATACTATACTTGCTATACTTTGGACACAAACAGAGAATAATTATTCTATTTCTCTTCATATATTTTTAAGTCCTCATCATGAGTGACAAAATAAAATACTGTAAACTTGGAGCAAAACAAAGTTTGACCGAAGTTCAATTTCTTTTCCAAAATTTCATAAGCATTTTTTTTTTTATATTTGAACATTTAATGCATTCTTAAGTCACATTGATCTTTGTTGAGATATGCCCTGCAGAATCACACATTTAAAATAATTTTCTTGATCGCTACATTGAATAATATGCATCAACAATTAAGAACTAACAGATTGAATTTGGAATCGCATGTTTATTGATGTTATTATCATTTGATATATTTTTTATTGATCGCTTTGACAAATAAGCGGTGAGATCATACTTTTATTCTTAATAGTTTCAAATTCAATTAATTTGTCCAGAGTCCAAATTCTATATTATATTTTAGCTAAAATTTCATATATTTGCGAGAGATCGATTTTCAAAATATGATTGCGCAGTGCCATTTTCTAGATAGTCTTCTTACACAATTAATAGACGACTCCTGCTTAAATACAAATAACATTGGGGCTGAATTAAAAGCTATTCCTCGTGATGCTATAAAAGCTCGTGGACTTTTCAATCCGGTGAAAAGCCCAGGGTAACGGCCGCCGCGGCCAACGCAGCCGATGTCGCGTTTTGCACCACTGTGGAGGGAATCTCGGTCGTCGGAGCAACAGTACTGGCGACCAGCGTGGAGATGAGCGTCGTCGCAAGGGTAGTTGAGGCGGTCACAGTCGTCGTGGCGACCGTCGTCGTCGCCGCCACAGTCGTTCTTATCATCGTCGGGATGGGACCGCCCGCGCACAGCCCAATGATTGGGGGTCCCAACAACTCGTCCAGCAAGTAGGCGACCGATGAGCCCAGCGCCAATCCAAGGTTGTAGGAAAACGTCATGATGTTCCCTGAATTGCAGGAAATTATTTTGTTGCAAATTGCTATTGAAATGAAAAAATTAAATTATAGTTTTAATTTTGCTTAAAATCTTTCATGAATAATTTTCATCCAAACAATAAAACACTTTGAAATTAAAAGAAGGCTAATTAGAATATAATTATACTCCGATATTAACAATTAAAAAATAAATATGGAATTAATCAATTCTCACTAAGAAAATTAAAATAATAATAATAAAACACTTTAAAATAAAATTAAAATAATGCAAAACTATATCATCTCGGTTAAACATTTTTTAATAAATTTTTTATTTTAATTTTTTTAAATACGCCGTTTAAAAAAATCAGTTTAATATAAAAATCTCTAGATAGAGATTTTTACACTAAATTTTATTCACCCGTTAGTTCCCTGAACTCCTCAGGTACTTTGCTAGGCGCCTGTATCATTGGCACGCTACCGATCACGCCGTTGGTCAGTCCGAGGAGGCCCGAGAAAAAGATGGGAAGACCGTCCCCAGGTATGAGAGGGTTGTGTCGCGGGGCAGCGCAGAACAGCAACAGGGGGATGAGGAGAAAACGCATTCCGGCGCAGCTCAAAAGCTCGCCGCGCGACCACTGCCATGGAACGGATGCTAAAATCTGCATTTTTCACAATTTATATCAAAAGTGTCAATTAATTTTACATTAAATAATGCACCTTTCCCAATAAATCAGCACCATTAAACACAGCCATAATGAGAACTGGCATCCACGAGCCGAAATTGCAACTGGTGATTTCGGCTTCGATCCCGGGGTACAGGCAGAGAGTGACAAAATACGCTAATCCAATTGACAGCATATGCGGCCAGATCAATCTGGCAACTTTCATCCTGTCTTCAAAGCCCTCTGTAATATTTTTTTATTAATAATAGTTTCACAATTTTAATTTATAATTATTTAATTTGATTTAAAGTTAAAAGTAATGCATTCAGAAAAAAGGGAATTTAACTCAAATTAAATGAAAGCTCCGCAATGGATTCCAATTTTGGGAAAGAATTTGTAACGTAAAAGTAAGTAATTGATATATGTATAAAAATTTAATTTATTACTTCTTAATCCACCCCACCGCCTATGAGGTTTGTAGGCGCCCGCGTGCCCGCTGCCCAACCTCACTACAACATCCTCCACCTTAAAAGTCGGTCCTGTGTGCTCAGTCCCGTCTTCGTCATTAGAAGGCCGAGCTGGAGCCTTTTAAGATGAAAAGTATTACTCTAGCGTGTTTAAAAATTCTGCTTGTGTAATTATGTTACGTTTGGTTCGTAAACTGGGTTAGCGAAACTAAAACCGGATTCCGCTGGATAGTCCACCAGAGGCGGCGGACTTTGCAATTTGAGCACACCGTATTGGCTGTTTGGCTGGTCCTGTGGATCCATCTGTGTAATTTTCTCAATGAATACACGTGTATAAAACGCGGTTTAGACATTTGAATACCAGTCCCATGTCTTCGGCAGGCTCCAACACTATCCTGTTATTACTGGCACTTGCGTCACATAGGGCGATGTAATAGTTTACGAAATCAGATTCGCGGACGATTGAGTGAAGTGCTGAGCAGATCGTAACCGTTAGAAGGGACAGCCCAAAAAATAAAGTCGTGTTTGCTCGCTGATCGTCGAAAAGGAGTTTGGTCAAAATTCGGTTTGCCGACACAAAAAATCCGGCGGCGCCTTGAATTTTTTAAAAATAAAATTTAAATCTGAAGTAATTTTTTTTAATAAAATAATTACTTTCTCCAGTCATCACTGCTTGAGTGTATCTGCTTGGAAGCATACTTGTGTATCCGTAAAAACTGCTTTGCTGAACTGAAATTGATCCGATTGATATATTGGGCGCTTATAATTGATTATTTAGCTATTTATATACCAGTACATCCCAGTGCAACCACAGCCACAGCGATTAAATTGGCCTTGTAAGCCAACTCGGGGCCAAAAATATTCCACCAAATTTCGCAGGTGGCCACAAACAATAGGGTGATGAACGAAACTGCATAGCCTGAAAATTTTCGCACTCATTAAAAATATTTTTGCCATTGAAATTTTTATTATTTTACCAAAATTTATCCTTGTATTAAGAGATAAAGTTTCCACCAGGAGATTATTCAGAAGAACCGCCACAAATGCGGTCAAAATGTACACCAAGGACATGTCAAACACTATTGTGGATCCAGGGAATCTGGTTTGAAAATAATCCACGGCGATGATGAAACTAGAACCGAAAAGGAATAAAATAAAAATAGCATCTTCTTAAAAAAAAAAACTGCGTCGCAAAATGATATTGATTTAGCTTTTACCTGTTGTAGGGTAGCAGAAATCCAACCCCAGCCAACATGAGGGCCGTATAAATAAAATTGCAATGGTCCACGGGGGACTCATGGTGATTGTGACTTGTCCTTGGGTCGGACCCTCCGCCGCCCCTGGACTTGCCCAACTGGAAGTAGCCCCGACTAGGGCTCGTCTCCTCCATCTCAATCATTGCGGCGGTTTATTTTTGACCCATCTGAACAAAGGATATATCATCCGCCGACATTTTTCTAGTATTATTTGAGATTTGATTTTACGCAGGTCTGCAAAAATCGATCGTGCGCGTACTTGGTACTCAATGCGGTGAACTCGCGCCACTTATTTACGTCACGGGCACCGTAACAGTGAAGCCAACCGGTCGAAACTATTAAATCCAGCATCGCCGCCATTTCAATGAGCACTACAAAAATTCCTCATATTTTTTAGCATATGATTCTTATTTTTTATTTATTTTTGGCTTAATTATTCTATTATTTTCAATAAAACAAAATTCTTTTTTGATTATGATTGAAATTGGCAAAGTTAATTTTATTAAGTTGGTCAACTGTTCGGTCATGTGACCGCAGCTGATGTTGTTTTACTAAAATTTCCAGAAACTTTCGAATTATCGCAAATATTTCAGCGCGGTGGTGCTTTCTGGGTGCCAGACTACGCTTGAAGTTTTGCTAGTGCGGAGTAATATGTCGCTAAATACAGCTCACGCGAATTCTGGAGTGCTAATTCACGCGGGAGAATGGTAAGAGAGTCGGAGAAATCTTTGCAATATTGCGGGAAGTTGCAAGTCGAAACTGATTTATTCACTGCGTATGCCTTGTTCAATTAAAGGGTGCGTTTACTTAAATCTGGTCAAGATTACGAGTTAATGATTAAGATCAACGTTCTAGCGCGTTCTACTTGTATCAAAATCAAATTTAAGACGAATCTTCAGTCTCAATGATGAAATGTCAAGAAATCCCCCCGGAAGAAGGGCTCAATTAATTTCACAAATTCGCTGCCAGAATTTTACTGTTTACTTTCCGGTTTCTCAGTTCTTCGATGCTTTCCTCCATTTTGACGTATTTTATTTTTTCTCAGCATGTTCATAATTATGAGACTCAGACGACTTTGCTAGTAATCTGGTTTTTTAGATAAACTTATATTGATTTATGAACATCGAGAGGCACAATCTCCCTTTGGCAACATGGTATTGCGTAACCAATAATTAAATATGTCAATCATTCTTTAAAAAGTATCTTCCTAGCCTGTAGAAGTTGAACTTAATTTCTGTTTATTTAAAAACATAATTTTGATTGCAATAAAAATTCAAAATTCGAATAAAATTTAATAATTGATCCTGAAATCGTGGCCTTTAAAAAAAAGCTTATTATTTATTATGAAACACAAAGTCTTATTTTTATATTTAAAAAAAAAATTATTGCATGGAAATTTATTCTAAAATATCTGCATTCTTTCAGCATTCTCCTATTCTGCAACACCGTGACTTTGGACTTCAGTGGCAGCCTGCAGGCTGAAATGAAGGGCAACAAGGTCGGCCGGCTGTTCCTCACAACTCACAGGATGATTTTCCTCAACGGCAACGCCAATGACAAGTTGCAGTCCTTTAGCTTTCCCTTCGTTACCATGTCAGAAGTTGAACTGGAGCAGCCCATTTTCGGTGCCAATTTCATCAAGGGCAAAGTGAGGGCTCAGGACAACGGAGGCTGGGTCGGCGAGGCCAAGTTCAAGTTGCATTTCAAGCATGGCGGAGCTATCGACTTTGGACAGGCCATGCTGAAGGCTGCCCAAATGGGTAATTTATTTTTTTATTTATTTATTTTAAATTAAATGTAAATTGAATTATTTATTTATTTACAAATCTAACACCACTTTATTGGTTTTATGTAGCTTCAAGAAATGGTCCACCGTCTGCACCACCCCCTTATGTCCCACCAGCTGGTGGATTCTACCCTGCACCACCTCCAGCCTACACACCACCCCCGAATGGCTACTATGGGTGGGTGCCTCCGACCAACGTATTTCCTGACCAGCCAGCGGCCAATTCGGTCTTCATGACGGACATGCCGCCTCCGTACCCTGGCATAAACGGCTATAATGGCTATGCGACAGCCTCTGCCCCAGGTCAAGAGGCCATGGGTTTTGCTGCCCCGCAGCCATCTGCAGCTGAGGCCAAGGCCATGGAAGCGGCCCAGAGCGCTTACTACGACCCTAACAAACCTCAGTGCGCCTACGTACCACCTCCTGCTTACTACGTAAGAGCAATTTTTCTTGCATTCCCTAAATAATTTCATCCAACATCTGATTTTCAATATAATCCTTGGCTTGTTGATTACTTTAAATTTCTAAGCCTAACATTTGAATTTTAGGAACCACCGCCTGCCTACCACGATGCCAGCAAGAAGGACCAGTAATTGCAGCTATGCTTTTCAAAACATTCCTGCTGTCTACCATCACAATATAAGGCAAAGATTCTATTTCAAAGCTTCACTATTGAAATTATTTGTAAATAAGAAATCTCTATTATCATAAGTTGATTGTCCACTTAAAAGTATACTCTGCTTCTGAATGCAAATGACTGATGCCTCAAGTCGTATGTTGCAATGTTTAGTTGTTTGATCTACCTCGACGTAGTCAAAAGCTTTCCAAGCAACAATAATAAAAGATTCAAAACATGGTTGAAAATATTTTAAATTTGTATTTTAAAATCGAAAATAAACACGTTACAAATGTACGCTTGAAAAGTTGCGTTTTTATTTTTAAATAATCCTTGTGGTCATTTTCTATCGTAAACTTAAGTAAAATCGACAAAGTTCACTTAATGGAAAAATAAATTGTGAAATAATATTGCACTCGGGAAACTTGCCCTTGCCATTGAATGGATCTGCAGCCCAAGAGAGCATCAGCAGCCAACCACCCTTTTCAGGTTTAAATTAGCCACATCATAAAATACTTGAACAGAAGTTCTCATTCATTGGCAAATTCAAATTCCCAAATCACAAATAAATTTTAAAGGCAGAGAATTTACAATTCCTCTCTGTCCTCAGCATCATCGGCACCTTCGTCAGCAACTTCCTTCTTGTAGAAGCCGTGCTCGGCCAAAAGCTCAATGCACTGCTCTCTGGACTTATCAGAAAGCTCAACTCGAGAGATCTCCTAGAGGACAAAATATGTTGATTTCAAATTTTGTAACTTAAGTTTCTTGAAAACCTTGTCGTCCTTATTGTAAAAAATTGCCTCTGGCGGAGCTCCACCGACGTGCTGGAAAGTTGCTTCTGGGCTGAAAAGTTTTAGAAAAATTGATTAAATTCGCAATGGGTTTATAAAATATTTAAATTAATACATTTGAGGTACATCTTCGTGGATAAAAGCTTTTATCTCTGGAAGACGATTCAATCGTCACCCACCACAACTCTGCAAAACATTTTAAATTTCAGTATTTAATTCATATAAAAACAATAAAATTATTATACAGACCTCTATAGTCACTCGTACTGCTTTGTTGTCCTCCTCGGGCTTGTCGATTGCTAGGACCGCAGCAACCAAAAGGGTGAAAATGAACATTTTCATCATTTTTTCCAGTAGTTTTCTCTCTGAAGAAACTGCCAACAATAAATTAATATTTATGTTAAAGTTTAAAACTTAAAACAAAATTACTTCACGCATGAATAATTTATGTGCAATTTTTTATTGAAAAATTCAGAAAAATTCAAATTTGTGCAGTCTCGAGCCAGCACAGCAAAAAACAAACAAAGATAAGAATCATGAATCATAGCGGAATGTATAAAAATTAAATTACGTATGTGATCTTCTCCAAAATTTAGAGCTTATAAGTTAAAAGATTAGTCAAAGAACTTTTTCAAGATTAAATAATGTATATATCGGTATATGTATAAGAAAATCAAAACTTCGTTTTTTGACAGGTCAGTGTTTAAAACAAATTCTGACCTCAATAAATACACTGAAAATCAAATTTAAAATCAACCTCACCGAAAAAACGTCGTGTCAAAACTTAAAAAGCGCTGAGTGTGGTGCCGTCTGCCGTGGTGTCAACAAAAACAGATGTTGCTGCAGCTCAAAAAATGATCGATGATGATGATGACTCTCAAAATAATAAAGTGCTCAAACAAAAACACGATTAGCGGGAAGAGGGACAAAAACATGGCATGAAATTCAGCCCTTCGCTTTAATTTCGAACTCTTTGACTCTTTTTTAACTAATTCTAGGTAAAACTATTTATTCGTGTAAATATTTGTTAACTCAAACAGGACTTTTTGTAGGAAATTTGAACAAAATAAGGCAACTAAATGGCTGACAGCGATTTGAACGAGGACGTGGAAAGTCTGCAGTTGGAAGAGGAAATCGTTCTGGCCTCGTGCAGTACACGAAGACTGCGGAAAAGACCAATTTTGGTGAATGCCTTGGACGACAAGGCAACGGTGAAGAGGAAAAGATTCGTGGAGAATAAAAAAGATCTGAGTGAAAAGGAACTGACCAAGTTATATCTGAATGAAAACTTCAGGGTGCCCAAGCAAAACCTTCTTGAGACTGTGTACGAAGAGACAAATGAAGAAGACACTCCTGCGGAGACAAAGACTGCTGAGAAGAAGAAAAGAGCCATTAGCTTCCCTCTGTTTACCACAAAGGCCAAGAAACAGCAGAGGAAGAAAATGGTCAAAAGACTGGAAGTGTCTTCGCCCACATATCTCATGAACAGGAAGCTCAAAACCAAAGTGTCCAAGACCAAGCTGGAGGCAGTCTTGAAGGACGTTGAACTTCCCCCTGAGTTGGAGGACGACGTCGATATGAAAAGTGTTGACAAAGACAGTGAGAAACAGAGCTCCGAAGCCAAAGATTAACCACTGACCCAGCGCGAGAGCAAAAATTAATGTTATTGTAATTAACTTTCTTGCCGCTCTCGCAAATAATAATGTGTGTTTGAGGCTTTAGGAGCAACATAAACATTTCAATATCAGTCTGTGTTAATTTCCTTACATTAAACTATGTTGCAAACAACACAATCATTCTCTGATATTTTTAAAATTAGTGTAATGGTATATTAAAACCCAAAAATTTGATTACCATCATTTAAAATTAACAAAATAAAATGTTCAAAGCAAACTAAATTAAATTGATCATTTCTTTACAACTTTACCCAATTTATTTTGTATCAGGTCACTCGAAAGTGGATAATTTTCAGATCTGAAGGCAATTTTAGCGTAGAAATTTTCTTTTTTTATCAAAGTTATTTATGATCAAGTCAACAAAGGAAGTTCCTATAAGTGTTATGTTAATTTAACTCAATTTTAAGGTGGCGCTTACGATGTCCAGGGGCTAAATTTTATAATTTAAATAATTTGCATTTCTCATAGATAGGAGAGGAAAAATTTATTCATATTTAATCTCTTAAAAATTCTTGGTGATGATAGAAATTCAAACTAATATTTTCTTTGCCTTTGCAATTTTATACGCAACCAGAATAATCAACTGTATTTTTAATAAATCCTGCTTCAGCTTTTCTTACTTAACGGATGTTCAACAGTATTTCATTATGGTTGTATCAAATTTATATTTTATTAGCCAAATAATTAACTTAAATCTTAAATGCAATAGTCTTAGGTTATATTTTTAACATTAAAATTGTAATTGAATATTTTTTCATAAAATTTAATATATAATGTTTTTATTTTATTTATTTTTTTATATTATTTTAATCTAATGTTTGTTTTGCAAGTGTCTTTTTGATTATGCCAAACAGATTCGGTAATAATTATTAAATTGGTTTATGCGATACATTTCCAAACATTTTATCTATATTTTACTACAAAAGATTGATTTAAATTAAAACGGGTTTCATCCGATTTCAGCAAATATTGAATCATCAGGAAATTTGAGTAAAGCAAAGTAACTTTGCAATAATTTATATTTTTTTTAACTTTTACTTACATCAAAGTCTAATTTTGAAACTGCTATTGTTGAAACAATACAAAATACACCATGATCCTGCTTCTTCTTCTTTTGCCGCCTCATTTGGCAGAGGCGGCACGTTTTGATAATCGCTCGTTATCTGCAGATATAAAAAGTGGCAGGACGAGGCTGGTGATTAATTCGGTCTGCAGACAGACGCACAGGTAGGGGCCAGACGGCGCCCGTCACAGCTCCAAGTAGTGGCGCCTCGCCATTTGCGTCCTCCGCCCGCCCGCCCATTGCTCTCTTGCCGTGTGTGCTTCAGTCAGCATCTCAAATATCGCCCAGTCGCCGCAACCAGGGCTCCTGTATGCCGGGCTCCTCTTGATTTATTGATTCTCAACTTTTGTGGAACACACACTTGAAAATCGGCCGGATTAATAAAAACCAAGAGGCCGTAAGAGCAGCGCCGAGGAAATCTCTCTGCCGTTTGGTCCGAGCGTCCGCGAGTAAAATTTTATTTGCGTAATAACAATTCGCCTCACGAGTTTCCTGCAATTTCACACCATTGGCCTTCGAAACTTCGTTTGCATATTTTAGGCCTCTTTCTTCGAAGCGAGCAAGAATAATGCCCCAGTTAATATTCACGATCGTGCAATCAGAAAGTAGGAGGAGGAAAGAAAATTATGATATTTACTTTTTTTAATATAATAGTCCGTATTTGATTAAACATTGTTGAATCTTTTATTTGTTGCTTATAATACATTATAATATTATGCAAACCCGCAGCAGTTTATATTTTTTCCAAAAAGTTGGAAACACTTTTATTCATGAATAAGATGAAAAAGTAAAATAGGCGAATTGTAATTTTACTCAAGTGAAAGCAGCCGAGAGTGAAGGAAGTCGCGTTTGCAGGTGGATGGACGCTGCGCGGCACAGAGCATAGAATTATATTAGAATGGGCGCAAAATATTCGTGAGCCGCGGGGAGCGAGCAGGCCAGGCTCTCGGCCGCTGCTTTGGGTTTTTTGATTTCCCACAGAAGTGAATTGTGTGCGACACAGAGAGAGCGCGAGAGCAAAGGCATGCATGCATGTGTTTCGATAAATAAAAAAAAAAAAAAAACCTTTGTGATGTTTGGCAGTAATGGTCGAACAATGAGGTGGGTTGAAAGGTGCTTTAGCACAGGTGGCTCGCATCTTCTGGGGGAGAGAAGAAGAAGAAGATGATGTCGAGAAAAAAAAGTGGGCAGCAGGGAGGGGAGACCGAAATGGGCAGACAGCGTGGCACCAACCACTATTATTCCTGGACCACAGCCGCTGCGAGAGAGAAGTGCAGTCGAGCCGACCAGCGCTCAAATTCACGCGTATGTACCTTATTATTACTCTGCTTTTCTCGACTTTTCTCTCGTGATTCGCTCAAATTTTTCAACTTTGTTTGACTGAGGGTCAACACTGGTTTCTTATTAGCTAGGGTCACTGTTGTCCGAGTTCAAAAACAGTCAGGAATCGATTATTTTCACAAAGCGTCGTTTGACAGTTAGTTTTTCTGAAGTTCCTCACAATTCACAACTTTATGCGTTTACTTTTCTTTGATTTTAATTAATTTACATGCAAATTCAAATAAATAGATAAATAAAAATTAAAAAGATTCCTAAAATTTGACTGTTAAATTATTTTTACAAATTATAATTTTATATTAAATTAATTGCAAATAATTACATGAATTTTAAATTGAAAAATCAATAAAATTGTAATAATATTCATTAATTTTCTACTCTATAAAACAAATATTTTTTTTATATAAAAATTGTAGAGACAGAGTTTAAATTTTACACTTCATTTTTTTTTTATAATGATCATTTAAATCATTTTAATGCGCGATTTTCATTGAAGGAAGTAAATAATCTTTCAAAATTCCTCTATCATAAATCTGATAAATTTTATAATTTTTTTCCATATTAAACAAAAAAATTGCAATTTATAATTAGGTTCAATCAACTTTATATCCGGAATCATTGTCACTTATTAATAATTCTTATACTCTCAAGCGAGAGAATTATTTATGACCGGTTAACGTCTCTGATAGGAAAATTAAAAATTCACGACAATAATTTACTGCATGGGCGCGTTCACAAGTATGTACGAGCTGACTGAGTACAATTTTTGTTTGGAGAGAGATGGAGTTGCGGTGATTAGAGGGGTCTCTTCTTTTCTGCACGGCAGGTTCATCGTCGTCTCTGATTACTTAAAGGTGACGTCACTTTGTGTTCATTTGTCCCACCCACGCTAAAGGGATTACAACAAAAAAGATTGAACACGGCACAAGCGTACATACATTCGGTGTATGAGAGAGTGAATTAAAATTGTTCTCTGTGTCGTGCACCTGCATCTCGCTCTCGTGTAAGCCTTCCCAGGTAGCTGCAGCCGCCGTGCCTTTTTCTCCGCGCCGTCCTCGCGCAGCAGGACATTTGTATAATTATATCATGCGAGCGGGGAATTTCTTGTCCCGTCTGCACCACCAAGCGACCCAGAGCAGCAGCGCCTTTCTATTGTTCTATTAAAGTAAGCAAATAGTTAAATGATTTTTAGTTATATATATATTTTGTTACTAGTTTTTTTTAATAATTCATGGTTTTTTTATTTAATTTTTTAAGAGTTTTGTACTTTAACATTTAAAATTTATTGTATTAATATTAAACTTTACAACAATGTTGTATACATTGATTTTATTTTCTTTAAATATAAATTAAATAAATATACACTTATTTTTCATTAAATAATGAAGCCAAATTAGGTAAAACAATGACAGTAGTATTATGAAAATTCAATCATCTTGCACTATGACCAATTATTTTATTATTTCGCCATTTTATTTCATTAATTTCTTATACATAAAATAAATGAATTTTTGTAGTTTGTTTAGGGGTGCTTATTACGAAAATCCGTGAAGTTTAGTGGAAATTGCGAACATTTTATGGCTGTGCTGGTTAATTATTTGCTGAAGGGCACGTCGTGCAGACGGAATTGTTATGGGAATGCAACCACCATGCATAAACTCGAAGCGGTGAAAAACATGAAATTCTGGAGGCGTCAGTGCCATTTAGCAATAAAAATAATAAATAATATGACCAAAGCATCCTGCTCGCTCTCGCCGATTATTTTCTCGTGCTGTGTGTGCGCGCGCGTTTCTTCATTTTGTATTTTTTTTTTTTGCCTCGGCTCACAAAGAGCTCGCGGTTGACAGCTCTCGTGAAACGCAATTTATCCTCAACTCTATCTTCGATTGCATTCATTTCAAATTAGCATATGAAATAAAAGTGCCATGTTGATGTTGCGAGTTGAGTGACGCGATAATGTGTTGGCAGGCCTTTAATAATAAAACATGTAGAGCTAATTTTGCTTAACGCACTTCTCATTTCGATAAATCGAGGCGAAAGTTTGCTGAGCTTAATTTGAGCATAAACTCACTCAGTGGGGTGTGAGGTTATTTAGATCGATGTGCGCGGATGTAAATAAACCTGGAGAAATATCTCTGGTTCTTCTCATGATGTGTTGATAAGTTCTGAAGTTCTGTGGTGCATGAAAAATTGAAAAGTCATCAAATTTATAGACTTTCATAAGCAAGTTGTCACTCACTAAAGTGAAACGTAATCATCTTTTTAAAGAATTCTTGGAAACCATGCTCCGAACCACTGTGAACTTTTGCGCATATTTATATTTTGCAGTTTATTTTGTTTTCAAAACATTGCTGCGGTCTTATTCAAAGGCTAATTTTTTTTATAAATTTCCCCCACTTGCAGGTTTTAGTTTGGACATGACAAAGTAGCAGGTCGGTTGGTTTCAATTTTACGGTTAAAAAACGTGTTAATAGTTTAAAAAAATATTTGATTTGAAGATATAGAGTATATAATATTCAGCTTAAAATATTGTATATAATTAAATTATATATTATCATTATTAATATTTCACGCGGTTATTGTGTTAAAATAATACTCTGAATTAGAGTGTTTGACGGGACTCGGTCCCGACGGGTCCCCGCGGGTCCCCGCGGGTTTCCCGCGGGTTTCCCGCGGGACCGGCACCGTTTTCTTTCAGAGCAGCGGGAACGGGACGGGACGCGGGACCGGGAAATTGAAGTTAGTTGCAAAGATAAATCAGTTTTCAATTCCATTCAAATGAATTATAATTTTCAAGTCCAAATTAAAAGTTTTTGAATAGCATATTTTTCTAATCGCAAACTCCTTTTCGCACTTTCTTTTTAAAAAAAATATACATAAACATAAATAAATTAAGAAATCAAGACAATATTTAGAAATTTGAGGTATTTATAAAAATTAAGCAACCCGCAGTACATACGAGTAGTGCTATTTGCATACCACGAAAACTGGACGATTAATAGCTGATTGCAGGAATCGGGACTCGGGACGGGTCCGGGAATTTCGTTTTAGGCACTCCCGGGAACGGGACCAGACTCAGGAAATTGTTTGAAAAAAATTCGGGAACGGGACGGGAAAATTTTCAAAAATTGGTCCCGTCAAACACTCTACTCTGAATCCACGTAAAAATTCTTTTGAAAATTTTGCATTTTAAATGCAATCAAACTAAATTTAACATTAAATATTTTTCATGCAAAATATACATTAAAATTATTACAGCCATATTTTTAATTAAACGTTTTAAAACTATTTCGAAATCTATTGCGCACTGTTAATTATATCAATAGTTTCAAAATTAATTTGTTTTTGTAAAGCTTCATACTTATAAGTTAATTAAAATTAAGATCCAGCAATTAAAATTTGCCAAATTTAAAACGGTCCATTTTCGGGAACTTTTATGGGATGACAATTTTAACTCCTTTTTCTGATTAATCTGTTTTTATTTTCCGTTGGGAAATTTTTATCGGCCTCATGAATTTTATTTCATGGCCCCATTGAAATATTTCAATTTGATAAAAGTCACCGTGAAACCACAAATAAATTTATGCTTCGCGTTTATTTTCTGTCTCTGCGCGCGGTTAAAATTTTAACGCTCGATCTCCTCCGCAAAGGTGCAACCTTTTTATTTTCCATAATTTATTGCCTTTAATTTGAGACTCGGCGGCGGATTCCTTTTTAATTCCCTCTCGCGCATTTTTTTCTACCCTCTTGTTTTGCAGAGAGTTATTTCGTACGAGGAAGGAAAGCTTTTTCTCAGAAAAAATGTCGAGAGCGCGGCTGCAATAATAACTTGGACTGCTTTCGTCCGCCTTACTCACCGGTTCGAAATTTCCCTTTCGAAAAACGCGAAAAAATATATATCAATGGCCTGTTTAAATGTATATTCAAATATGGGAACCCGGGCGAAAAGCGGAGAGCGTGCGGCCGAGAGCTGCGATCCACATTAAGACTACTTCTTTTTGTGTGCAGTCTGCAACGTTTGACCTTCATTAAAAAAGTTAATTCCAGTTTTTAAAGTGAGTGGGCAGCGGTCGCATGTGTGTGTTTTCGTATAGTGTGTTCGACTTGGTTGATACAGACATATGTACCTATACAATTTATACACTCGGCGTGTACACGTGTAAGTCTCTCTTTGATTATATATCCTCGTCAGCGGCTCTAATGCTTCCCAGTCGCGCGGTAGAACATCGCGAAAATTTAATATCGGCTGTGTAGCTACGCGGAGAATTAAAACGAGACAAACGCTGTCGCTGTCGCTGTCACTCAGCCGGTATACTCATAAATTTCAACTAGCAACTTTTTCCCAATATATGATGAGCGTCATGTAAATCATCATACAAAAATTTAAATTCTACACTATCAAGTCAACAGGATCTTTAAAACTTTCACTGTGGAAAATGCGTCATGGAGAAGAATATATGATATTTTTTTAAACTTCCTTATTATCAAATATTATCTCAATATTAAAATGGCAATAATTTTATTCCTCGAAAGTAAATTCATTTCAGCAGTTCAAGAACTCCATATTTGCGGACTAAATCAGATGCAAGCGTTTCAGATTGTCAAAAACAATGTAAAAATTTGAGATAACCAACAGGCAATATACTGGGTATGGCTAATTTGTTTACCCAATTTAGAAAATTTATGGCACTTTATAGCCTAAAACTCTTGTGCATCACAATTTCGCAGCAGTCCAGTCCACATAAGTTTTTTTTATAACTATACTTAATTTTAATCATAATATTCAAAATACATTAAATATTAATATAAAAATAAAATAAAATTTATCTTTGTAAAATTGTAAAAATAAAATTACTAAAATTATAATGTGAATGAGTCCATTTTCACCTTTTCTCAATTATACATATCAAACTGTATGATTTTAGGGAATAATATTATTGCGTATCCCGTTATGGGCAGCAATTTTATTGCCTTTGTGATAGATCAATAAACACAATTTGCAACTAAAATTTTATTTCAAAATGATATTTGAAATTCGAAATAAATTAACAATACGTATTGATTAAATTAGTAACTTTTCACTAATCTCCTTTTACGTGGAATTACGTTTCGAGAACACAATATAATATTTTTTTCAAAAAACAATATTAATGTTAGTAAATTAAAATTTAATTTCTTACCGGAGGAGGTTTATCTGAATAAAACAAAAAATATTTTTTGATCTCTTTATTGCATGTATAGGCGATGAATGCCTTATAATTATATTATCTGTTTGTTGCAGTTTTAGGTTTTTTTTATAAATATTCCACTCATTTAATTTTTCTCCGCACCGCTATTAAAGGATAATTATGTTACAATATTGGTATTCATATAATTATATTGAAATATTATATATATAAAGCAAAAGTTATATTGTTATATTTATTTTATTTAAAATTTTCATTTAGTCGATGGCCGTTATACAATCGCCGTCTCGAATGTTCAGTTGTTGATATAACGAAACTTGGCAGAGCACATAGCTGTTGCCGTCGATTTTTGTCTAAATTTAGGAACCAGACTGTGGAATATTAATGCCGCGGCAGGGTCCATGGCACCAAATTTGCATAACAAAAGAGACGAAATTCCAAGTCACCTTGATGATAGAGACCAAGTGCGATATGTACGCCGAGATAGCAGCGGCAAATACACAAAGGAGAATAAAAGAAAGAAAAAATAACCGGCGCGTCTTCGCTCTCATGCTTATATACATTTTTTTCATGTGTGTAAGGCCGACCGTTTTGTTTGCCCAAGAAATGAACAACCAATGGGGAATTCCCCGCATTTTCCAAAGTGTGAATTCTGGAAATTGACACTTTGAGCTCGCGATCAGATGAACTAAAACGATTCATTGACGCAAAAGCTGCAGTCGGTCAACACCCGCGTTAGAATAATTAGATACATTATGGCGTTTGAAACATCGACCCCTCCAAAAGCGTGCAGTGTCAACGCGCTGCAGGCTCGGCACGATGTATTATTGCACGTGTGCAACATATGTGTGCAATGGGGCCACCCATTTGTGTACATTTTGAGGATCTTTTAGGAGAAAAATAAACAGCATGATTTTTGGTTTATCTTTTTACACAGCATCCTAATACTAACAAGGAGAGGAGAGCAAAAAAATCGTTTTATTAAATCTTAAAAGTAAAATTATTCAGATATTAAAGCTACAATACTTTTTCTTATTTAAATAAATTATGTCGTACATGGCAAAAAATATTTTGATACATAAAAATTTTCAATCTCAGAGAGCGGATGAAAAGAAAGTTTTTCAGTAAAATATTTAAACAAAATGACATTTGCTTAAGGTTATAAAAATCTATTTTTAGAAAAAAAGATTGATCAATATTATTTATTCACTATCTGTTTCTGTAGGTTTAACATGGACCAGCCCACTGTGGTGCTGATGTCCCTGCTGGTGGTCCTGAGCTGTCCAACGCAAGCCACTGAGAGGATTTCGCCCGACCAGCTGCTAACCTCGGACGCCTCCCCGTCCATGCACAGCAGCAGCCGGCACGGCCTTCAGTCAGATACATACCTGCCGCCTGGTTTCTGGACAGAGTCCATCAACAAAAGACCTGCAAGGAAGCCCACCAAAGCCGAGCGAAATCCTGCAGAACTCATGGAGATGATGGAGAAAGGGGGGAAATGGGATCCTAGGTTCATGCGGTTGAGCCGAAGAGATAGAAAAGTAATTTTATTTTATTTTATTCACCAATAAAGGTTATAAAAAATAAGAGTTGAATCAGATAAATTATAAATTCTTCTTTCAGTCTTTGGGAAAATTGAACGTCAGAAGTCATCTTGGGAAAAAGAAGTTCGCGCGTCCGTCGGTGCGCTCGCTGTGGAGGGCGGCCAGGCAGCAAAAGAAGCCGAGGCGCTGGTCCCACCAAACGGCCCATGAGGCGTCCGAGCTGCTTTTTTCCTTGGCCAACTGTTCCACCACGGAACAGTGGGTCACTTTGGACAGACTGTTCTGGCCGCGGCAGCTGTTGTTCACCAAGTGCGCCAGTGGAGGCATTGACACCGACCACGTGGGAGGTCACCAACAGACCTGCGGATGGCCTCCAGGAAAACTGGCCTGCAGAAATGTGCCCTTAAACGTCATAATCCTCCGCTGGATCTGCTTGCCAAAGTAAGTTTTAAATGCAATTTTTCAGATCATTCTAATCAAGACCTATTTATCCTCTAATTGGTAATACAGTTTTCAACTATCTTTTCCAACTTAATGTTTCCTATTTTATGAGCTTATAATCCAAAAATATCAAAAAATCCACATTTAAATCATTTTTTAATATGCTAAAAAATATTAAAAACTCAACCATTCATATTTTAATATTCTATATTGATTGAATTCTAAATTTTGGAGCAAAATTTTCATGCCACACTTTTCGATATCATTTTAATTGCTCAAAATTTATCAATACCAATCCAAACTTTGAAATAATTTTAGGACACAAGATATTATGAATGCCAGAATAAGGAGGACAAATGGAACACACACATCCACCAACCCCATCGACAAAAAGTTCTACTGCAAGTGGTTTCCGGTGCCCTACACAATCACAAAAGACTGTGAATGCGGTCTGCCAAAGAACTCTCATGAAGATTTCTGATTTTCTGCAAATTCAAGACTGCTTCTAAGCTTCAGAGTGCGTGCTAGGTCCACGAGACACAGACTGATTGACAGACTAGAGTGAATGGAATCCAATTTAGTTTATTTTAAATTTTTACCATTGGTGCGCATAACCTGAGCAACGATTAAATTATTTTAAGTTCATTCGCAAGGTCACAGACTAACAAAAATATTTTTAAGTGTACATAGCTGTAGCTGTAATAGATGATTAAAATAAATATAGGACAAAGTGCTGATTTTTATTAATGTTTCTTTAATTTAAGTAAAATAAAATTTATTGTCAAATTTAACTAAATCGTCTTCTTTTTCTAAACTGAGAAACTATTTTTTTATTCAATTGATGGTTTATTCAGAAGTGAATCGCTGTTAGTGATTAAAATAATATGAAAACACTGGTTTTCTGAGTAAATTCTTCAACGTACGCAACACGCCTCACACGTGTGCTACTCAGGTTGCATATCCACGCGAGTCCGACTCGAGCCAGCCCGCCGCGTCACAAAAAATGAAACGTGACAAAAGGCATGCAGTTTCTTCCTTAAGATCTCAGCGTGCTGCCAGCAATAAAATTGGAGTTTGGCTAATTTGTACAAAACGGCACGGTGCCTTATAAAATTTACGATAACTCCTCGGCTATAAAACTGGGGTGTGCTTAAAATTTTTGGGTGGCCGCGCGCACAGTACTTAAGATTTCTGTTGGAAATAATTACGCTCGGGCCCCGGCAAAGTCATAATTCTATCACAATGGTGGTCGACGCTGAATATGGCTTTCCTTGTGCTGCATAAGGCAATAAACTCTAAAAAATGACGCCTATGACAAATTGTCAAATAATGCCTCGGCGCCACTGGACCAGACAATGCAGCAGGAATTCTCCGTTTCTTTGTAAGTGCCTGAATGGGAAATCGCGCGCGGCCAGCGCTTTTTCATATAAACCGCGTCGTTCCTCGAAAATCACCACCTCGTTTTTCAATTGAATGTGTGTCTCGCTCCTGTGCGTGTATTTATTATTTACTTTTCATTTCGGGCTCCACAATAAAAATGGTTAAAATTCCAATTCTCAATGACACACACCAAATAAAACTGCTATTCTTTGGTGCCACCCAAGCGGCAAACAGTGAGCTCGTCGTTTTTATTGCCGACGAATTACTACTGGTTTTTTTGTACTTTTTCGGGCCAGCGACAAGGAGGTGAAGAAAGAGCATTACCTGCTCAGGACCGAGCTCACAACGTTTTAGCTGGGGGAGATGGATTTTGAGTTTTCACTATACATTGATTTCTCTCTATGTGAAAATCTAATTGAATCAATATATTAGCACCTCTGGTATTTGTTGCGCTCAGTTGTAATAAATATTGATTTGTTTTTTATTTGAGTGCACTTTTATCTAAATTTTACACCCAATATATTAAATTATTTACAATAATTATGCATGTATGTTTGAGTGTCTGTAATTGATGCATGATTTAAAAAAACTTATTATTTAATTTTGAGGGAATTGTGTCTTTATCTCTATTGTTGTGCAGTGCACATAAAAAAATCCCCCAGCATTACGGTACAGCTTTGTAGCATATTATACTTTTGAATGTGTGAATCCCACGAAGAATACGAGAATTTCACGTGAACGCACGACTAGGCTTTGATCGCACGCGGGTCAGCAGCCGAGGTGACAAAACTCGTATAATCCGCCACGTTTGGAAGCGAACGCAGCTGCAATTACTAAATTGTGGGTGGCATTCACTGCATCTCTCAGTTGTATATGGATGGGCACTATAAAAGGTGTAAGTAATCCCGATGGCGCCGAGCAGTCGCGCGAGGAAAAAAAGGGAATGACTGACTGACGACTATTAGCCACGCCATTCAGGGTGTGAAAAGAAAAACTTTGCGCCTATGGCTCCTTTCAATGGAACCCTGGTCGCCCGCGTGTGAAGTATGCGCCGCGCCGCTGACGTGCGATGGACCCCATTGTCCTCTTTCAACTCCTCTCCAAATATCACGCAAAATGTGTAATTCGATCAGATAGATGCTGAGATAAAATTCCTAGTCAAGGGCAAAAATTTTACAAATATTTCATCCTAACCAAAAAAAAAAGAATTCGTTTGAAACCGATCTAGATTTTTAATGTACCTTAATAAACCTACTTTTATATTCGCATTTGGTATTTTTTTAAGCTGGAATTAAAAAAAGCTCTCACATTTGATTTTTTTTTAATTGGCTGATTTATCACTTGATCTCTTAACTGTCAGCTAAATCAATTCGCTTAACATTAAAAACTTTGAAGAAATTGAAATATCAATTTTTAAATTATTTTGTAGGAAAACGTTTTTAATATAAATATTTAAATAAATTTGAATAAAAAAGTTAAAGAACAATACAAAAAATTTGTTTTCAAAACGGCCATAAATTTTTTGCATACATGCACAACGCTTACAAAAAATGGGCCATAAAGCAGCAGACTGAATTCCTAGCGATCAAAAAGGCGCCGATCACCAGCAGCGGCCTCTTTATAGCCTCCCCGACGGGTCGTCTGACCAGCACACACACACAAACACACCACAAGAAATCTCCATTGTCCGGCGCTCACGCATATTTCCATATCATTTTCTGGGAGCCTCTGGAGCGCGGCCATCATAAAATATACACGCGTTTTTACACCCGCGACAAGTATGCATACCAAATGAGAATTTAGTTCTTCTTTTTATCATCAATCTCTCTTTTATGGTCCACGGGGGTGCATCCGTAATCCTTAGATTGGGTTGACAGCACACGGCCGAGTCATTAATTTCAAAAGAGGGGCCGCCGGAAACTGAGCAGGGTTCGTCAAAGGTGTGCTCGCAGCGGCAAGCTCGGGATTATAACACCTTCCAGAAAAAGGTGCTGAAAAAACGCCGCAAAATCCCGCTCATTCTCCGATTGTGAACTGCCGCGCGCGGCTTTCGTCGCGCCAAAATTCCCCACGGCTTCAATTTCCCCCGAGCATTTTTATTGGCAATAAATACCTTTCGTTTTCTTCTTTACGGTCCTGCATTTGTTCTGCGGGAAAGGAATTCATATTGTAATGTGTGACTTTTCTAACAAAGGCGGTGAAAAGAACAGCCCACGGATACACAATACACTGCTTACTTGACTTATTTAGGGCCTTTGGCGACGAGAGATGCGCCTTGGTGCGTAGGCCACATACTGAAACAAAGAATCACGGCACATTGCATACACACAAGGAGTGAGCTATATTATGTTAATGAATCAAGAAAATACAATGAATGGGGGAAGCTGAAGAAATTATAATGCTATTATTGTACTTTTTTTTATGTTCAATCACTTCATTTTTTTTTATAACCTCATATAGAGATAAGAAATTTACAAATTTACTTAAAGTCATATCTTAATAAGCATAATAAATAATAAACTTCTATCGGCAATTAGCTATTAATAAATAATAATTCAAATTTAGTTAGCATTATCTTAACGGTAGCCTTTTGATTAAGTTAAACTACAAAAGTATTTAAAAATTTAAGGAAAATGTTTCCATTAGTAAGAGTCCTGTCCGTTTGAATACATCCCTTAAATTTCTTTACACAAAAATTAAAAATAGTTTAATAAAGATAAAATTTACAAATTGTATAAAATATTAATAAAATAAATATATTTATTTAGTTTTATGTAAGCCAAATTACTTGGTCACAGTTATCAATTTTTTTCTTATTATAAGCAGAATTGTTGTAAATTTCCTCAAGTTTTTACTCCATTCTTTTTTAATTTCTTTGACAACTTTTTTGTTAGTTCAAACCTGATTCAAACTAATGATATAAACATTTATTCAAACAGGTCATTGACGTTTCTCTTGATCTATTTAGCTGCATTAATGCATATATTGCACTCAATACAATTTTCGACGTTAAAGCTGTGCGTTATTGGCACAAAATATTATTGCAAATCTACGCCAACACTTGTTCACGTCTGTCTCAAGGGCTTCGATAAGATGTCACGAGATGGAAAAGTGGAGCGTAAAAATGCATGTATAGAAGACGGGAAATTAGAGCCGACGAGAGCGCGCGCGGGGTGATTGATTGCCGAGGCAGAGAGACGCCGTCGTGCAAATATTTTGGCTGCTTCGCGGCGGTATTCTCGTATTTACATGGCAGAGTGCACGCAGATAGATCGGCGAGGCGTTTAAAAATACGCGCAGCAATATGATAAGGCTTCTTTCTCCCGCTGTTTATCCACGGCGCAGAAAGTACGGAGACGCCACTCCGTCTATACGGTTATTGGTGCCGCCGATTGCCGAAAATATTGCATGTCGGCGGAAATTCGCCCGTCAAATTTAATTGGGCAGGCGGTGCGCGAAAAAAATCACGTTTTCACCTTGTTTATAAATGGGAGACTGGTGGATTTTTTTTGGCGCTCTCCAGTCTCGCCAGTGGTGCGGCGACTTTTCTGGCGTCGTTTCGCGACTCCTGCGGTTTTCTATTGTTGCGAGAAAGAAACGAGAGCGGGAAAATATTGTTGAGATTGAGTGTGGCTCCTTCAAAAGCTTAGAAAAATTTTCTAAAGCCAATGTTGCATGGCTAAACTGCAAAATATTTATTATGAGAGTGCTTCATATCTTTGATATCATTAAAAAAAAAATAGACAACAACAAACAATTTAATATATTCTTGATCGACTATTGGTCTACAATAATTGAAGATTATATAGTTTTTGTATTTTTTAAAAATGTCTTTCTTAATTTATTTTTCTTTTTTCATTCAAATTGTGTGTTTAGAAAATTACTATGAACATAAAAATAAAGTTTTTCTCTAAGAACGATTAAATTTTGGTACTTGTTTATCACAGTCATAAAAGTACCGTTTTTCTAGCGTTCGTCTCAAGAAAAAACGCGAAATAATTTAAAAATTTATAATCCAGACTTAAAACCACATTGAATACAAATTTAATTAAAGAAACCAGACAACATTACATAGTTATAAAAAATATTGTGACAAAATATGTATTTTATTTACAAGCAATATATTTAAAATCTTATTTGAAAAATTTTTGTGTATTAAATTTTTTTTTATCTATTTTATAATTTGTTTTTTTTTAATTCTGCTATGCATCATTAATTTTCCAACACCACATAGAATCTTGCCTTTGAAATATGCATAAAATATAGTAAAAGGTCAGTGGCAGCGATAGGGGTTGCGGCCGAACAATGGGTGCGCCGGTCGTTTGGGCGCTGGGAAAAGCGCCAGCAAAGTGTCTTTCTTTGGCGAACACGGGATAACCTTCAATCCGGCGGGCGGGCTGGCGCA